AGGGGAAATGGGTGGTTATAAGATAGGGTGCTCGCCAAGGATTGGGTCCCTTGTGCCTACGTATGCTCATTCGAACGAGAATGAGAAATCAGAGCATCGTAGTTCGACTACGGGAAAGGATGGGGGGAAACGGAAGATGAAGGGAAGGTAGACTAAGTAATAGAGAAAGATAGAAGTGTGCTCGCCAAGATCATCGCAATCTTGTGCCTACGTATCTTACATTCAAGAGTGAATGAAGAATCAGAGCGTCTGTAGTTCGTGGAGACAACCACGAAAATGAGAGGGGTTGAACTGGTTCAAGTTTGGGGTTGATAAACGAAAGATTGACTAACAAGCAACCCAAGGGGCGTGCCTCGAGAGCTGTCACTCAAGAATCCAAAGAATACGATATTCTAAGAACTCAGTTCTTTCGGAAACTGATTGAATAGGGTTTACGAGAAAGAGTTGAACATTTTGAAATCGAAAGAGTGAATGAATAAAAACTCAAAGGGCGTGCCTCGAGAGTTACTCAATCAAAGATTCAAGGAATGCTAGACCCTAAGAATTTCCTTCTTTCGTAAGTTTGATTACGAAAATGTTTGAATAAAGATTAAGTGTTTTAAGACGAAAGGGTGAATGAATAACAACCCAAAGTGTGTGCCTCAAGAGTCATTTGTTCGATGATCCAAGGAATGTCAGACTCCAATAATTTTCTTCTTCCGTTATTTGTTAAGAAAAGCGTTTGTAAAAGATTGAATCGAATACATTGTGAAAAAAGGTGAACTGCGAGGCAAAAGGCACTCGACTTACAACTTGGTTTAAAAATACCACTTGACGTTAGATTAAGGGTTTGAATTCTATTTGCTTGCAAAATGCGTTGGAATGGAAGTTGATTTGAAATTGGCTCGACAACGAGTCAAGGGTTTGATTGAAAATGGAACTGGCTTGACGACGAATTAAGGGTTAAGTTGTGAGAAGCGATACTAGTCCTTAAGGGTGCCCCCAATATCGAAACCACGACGATATGTGAAAGTGTGTGCAACAAGTTAATGGCGAATGCGTACGAGCAGTTGACTTACGAGGTGTGTTTGAAAATGGCTCAACGACGAATCGAAGATTAGTTTGAAAACAGTTTAATCTACGCTAGCCCCTAAGGGTGCCCCTAGAAGATAAACCACAATCAAAGAAATAGGAATGCGTACATTGAAATGGAAGGGGGATACATGTGAGTTACACGGGGTTGCACTAAATAAAAGGTCTCGTTGTAAGGTAGCCCAAGAGAAAGTCGTGTGTGTGCGAAATATCCTAAACTAAGCCTTTGAGCAAAAGTTGAACATAACTCCAAGCTAGGGTTTTTAATAAAGTCCAATAGTCCATTGCTCGGAAAAATAACCAACAGTCTACCAATTTAAGCTTTTATCGTTTCGATATTTGTTAAGTGTTTTCGAATTGAATATGAATAGGAGATGAACAATATGAATATGTACAATATGTCAATATGAATAATATGGCAAGATATATAACAATATAATCGAGATAAATATTAACAAGTATATGAACAAGATAATATAAATCAAGATATAATTAACTGAAATTAAATCAAGGGTATATTTGAATGAAAATAAAACAGTTGTATATTGACGGAAAGTAAAGTTAGTGGTTAGTCGACTTGTGAACTGAATCGGGACGAAATATGGCATTAAACCTTCGTAGCTCGACTTATGACGAAAGTCGAACTATAGGAGGTCGCGTGAATTGATATCCGTGCTAAAATTAAGATAGAGAAATGATATTGAAGATCATTCTCCAATTTAATCGTGTCGCACAGACCAAAATGAGTGGGATCTCGTCTTAATCATAAACTCATGCCAATTAATCGAAGGTAGCCTATCACAATCCCAAAGTATAGAAAATGACTCAAATGATCATTTTCCACAAATTTGACATAGTGAAGGTTATCGACTTCGATAAATTAACGTTTACAAATGTAAGGATTTCATCGATCGATAAACTAAAATAAAATCGAGACGAAAAAGAAATAAAAGGAGTTATGAAATCATCCATTAAAAACTAATTATTAAATTAAAGAAAATTAAAATTCCTTTGAGAAAATAACAAAAACATGCTAATAATAAAGAATAAAAGTAGAAACAAAGACCATGGGTGTGTGAACCAATTCAAGGGTGTGTAGGAATAACAATATGGGATTTCAAAACAGAGCCCACATCTCCTAACAAAAAAAAAGCAATACAGGGTCAGGCAGTGAAAAACGCAACGGGTTAAGCCTAATATGGTCCAGGGCAAGTTTGAAAGGGACCTAGTCATCATCAATATCTGGTCAAAATCATTTTCAGTTTTTTTCAAAACAAAATAGACATGAACGACATGGTTGAAGATCTAGCTTTTACTTGATTTAAAACATCCTCAATTAACAAAGCGAAAAGAAAAAGAAAGCGCAGCAAAACAAACATGAAATGAGCGAAACAACACAACACGACAACATATCGAAACCTCCATGGTCAAAACGATTTGTACCATGACAGCTCCAAAACCAAGTTTCCTAGCGATCAAATGATCTCTTCCTACTCAACTCATCTCTTCCCAGGTTTGTTTGTTTATAGTTCACCCTCTCTTGGTTTCACTTCTTCTACTCGATTCTGGTTTTGGGATTTGATTGGGGTATTGGGTCGAAAGCGGGTTTTGAGTTGACTGGTTACGGGTTATTTTGAATGAAGATGTATTGAAGGTTGGTTTTTGATTCTCAGGTTTGTGATGAAAGAGGTGCAAAAATTTTGTAAGGTTGGAACGAAGAAGAAGGTGTTGGGGTCGAAGGTGAATGGGAGGAGGAAAAGAGTTATTGTTGTTATCAAGGATTTTGTGGTGAGAAAATTTGGGAAGAGGATTTGCAATTTAATGGAGGATGAAGAAGAGTATTCAAAGAGAATTTCGGGGAAAAAGGTGGACAGAATTTACGAGGGTTCTCCTGATTTGGGTTTTTTGAAAAAGAATATTGAAGGAATGCTTGGTGGTTTAAAAATAGAAGTTGCGAATGAAGTTGTGTTGCCATCTGATGTTGTTGATCCCCTTTTGAAGGTTTTTTGGAGCCGTATTTATTGGTGGGATTAAGGATATTTCTGGAAAAGAATTGAAGAGAGAGTTTTCTGTTGTATTCAGCAATGTCGTGTCTTTCAGATTGTGCGAGATTCTCGCTTGTAAGCGCATTTTCCGTTATGATGGCTTTTTTGCGCATCATTTTTCGCACGCAGCTTGTCGTATTGTCTTGCAGGTAAATGTGTGATAGCATGTGTATGTTTCTCATGGCTTTTGCCAAGTTTTTTTATGTGGCTCAGATGGCTAGCAGTAGTGTAATGTTATGATCATGGGCTTGGGAAGTATTTGGGCTCCATGTCGTGTGTTGTACGGACCCTTTTTTGTTGTAATTTTTGTACAATATGGACAATGGGCCCCTTTTTAATTGGAATTGGTCTCTCTCTCTCTCTCTCTCTCTCTCTCTCTCTCTTAAAAGGCTTTGTAGAAACTTGTAATGTTGGCACCCCTTAATTTGGTCTCAAAATTATGACTTGATAACAAGCTTGAAATCTCGATTTTTAACTTAAAATATCACGACAATTAATCCTGACCACTCAATGAAAATCAATACTTTCATATTCTCAATTTTTCCATTTGAAGATGAAATTACTCAAATCTATTCTTGACAAGCAAAACTTGAATTTATCTCTAATTTAGAACCCTAAATTGAAATGAATCCATCACCAAATCAATCTTGAAATCTGGGTCTTGAACGGGATGACAGTTCTGAATCAATGAATTAATCTTGAAATCTATCACTGTAAATCATATTGAACCAAATCTCAACTATAAAATCTTTTGACCATTAGATCCTTCAACCAGAAAGAAAAACTTGACTTTTCCTTGGGTTAATAACAAGTGTAATAACCACATAACCAAGTCTTGAATATGCACAAAATCTTGATAAAGACTTCAAACACATGCCACTTGAATCACACATCCTGGCCTAGTTCAACCTTTGTCTGATTGATAGGTAAACTTTAACACATACAACACTTATCCCTGACTTGATACCTCAAATGAATCTTGAACACATCCTTACAACAACTTGGACGGAAGACAACATATTTTTGGATTTTTTGGATAATTGCTGGTGAATGGATGGGTGTACAAAATGAAAGTGATATATAGAGGTAAGACAAATTTGAGGTATGACACACACCACAAATTTCAAATTCTTATCTGAATACTATAAATTCTAAAAATAAATGAAATGATTTTACAAGAACAATATTGTTCTTCTATACGCCGTGAGAGGTGTGATTCAAGTGAAACGTGTCAAATTAAATACTTCTTTTAAATGAAGCACTCTCATCCCACCTCTACTAAAGATTTAGATTATCAAATTCAACCCACTCTCATCTTTTATAATTCCCTTAAAGAAAGACCATGGACAAACTTATCTACCCAACTTCTTACCCAAATTTCACTCCCTAATATACTTATATAAACATTCTTAATTCTCAAACATACCATCAACCAATTAACTTTGTTTTTTCATATCAAATCACTAATATATTTACCATAGCACTCAATAATTTTTTCAAAGTGTACAATTCAAATACACGACTGACTGCTAAGTCATGGGTTTAATTATAATTTACTAACTTTGTCTGTCACAAATCTCGTGATCCACTAACCTTTTAGAGTAGATAACCAATAACAGGGGGAAAGGTTTTCCTTTTTTTTCCACATATCGCCATCAATCAACTGGACAGTAGTTAAATACTCCAAGATTGAATAGTACATCTTCCAGATCCATGATTCGTCACCTCAAATGTCACAACTCACAAGCCAAAACATTCTTTCTACAAATTTGTAAAATAAGACTGTTCCCAAAGAAAAGTTTGTAAAAAGTTTTTCTTGCATCCCATATATATAGAAAACAATTTTCCATATATCTCCATCACACTCCACCACCACCAACCACCATGCCTCCCCACCGCCACCACCGCATCCTCCTCATACCATACCCTGTACAAGGCCACATAAACCCTGCCTTCGAATTCGCAAAACGACTCATCACTTTAGGTGCACATGTCACTATCTCTACCACCCTACACATGCACAACCGTATCACCAGCAAACCCACCCTCCCTAACCTCTCTTATCTTCCTTTCTCCGACGGCTTCGACGATGGCTTTAAAGGAAAAGGCAAAGAAGCTTACTTACTCTATACGGCAGAGTTCAAACGCCGCGGCTCTGAGTTTGTTGCAAATACCATACTCTCTTACTCACAACAAGGTACCCCCTTCACTTGCTTAGTTCACTCCCTTCTCCTTCAGTGGGCCGCACAAGCCGCGCGTGAGCTTCACCTCCCGACGGCTTTGCTCTGGGTTCAACCAGCCACCGTTTTCGATATCTTTTATTACTATTATCACGGCTTCTCTGATTCCATCAAAAAACCTTCATGCTCCATTGAATTGCCAGGGTTACCACTATTGCTTTCATCACGTGATTTACCTGGGTTTCTATTGGAGCCATGTCCAACTCCAAGTGCTAATTATGCTCTAATGGTTTCACTCTTTGAGCAACAGTTCAACGACCTTGATGTTGAAACAAACCCTACGGCAATACTTATTAACTCGTTTGAAGCATTGGAACCAGAGGCGTTGAGAGCCGTTGAAAAACTAAACATGATTTCCATCGGACCGTTGATTCCTTCTGCGTTTTTGGATGAGAGAGATCCAACGGATGGTAATGATACTTCATTTGGAGGTCATGCACAGGCTCACATCTTCCAACTTTCAAATGGTTGTGTTGAATGGTTGGACTCTAAGACAGAGAAGTCGGTTGTTTATGTTTCGTTTGGTAGTCATTGTGTGGTATCAAAGATACAAATGGAGGAAATTGCACGTGCTTTGTTGGATTGTGGATTTCCATTCTTGTGGGTTATTAGGGAGGCGAAAGAGGGAGAGAAGGAGGAAGATTTGAGTTGTAGAGAGGAGTTGGAAGAGAAAGGGAAGATAGTGAAATGGTGTTCACAAGTGGAGATTCTTTCACATCCTTCGTTGGGTTGTTTTTTGACTCACTGTGGTTGGAATTCGACTTTGGAAAGCTTGGTGTCAGGGGTTCCTATGGTGGCGTTTCCTCAGTGGGCAGATCAGACGACAAATGCAAAGTTGATAGAAGATGTGTGGAAGATAGGAGTGAGAGTGGATCATGAATTGAAGGAGGATGGAATTGTAGGAGGGGATGAAATTAGGAGGTGTTTGGGAGAGGTGATGGGAAGTGGAGAGAAAGGAGAGGAAGTAAGGAGGAATGCAGAGAAATGGAAGGGTTTGGCCAGAGAGGCAGTGATGGAAGGCGGCTCTTCAGATAAGAATCTGAGGGCTTTTTTGGATCGTATTGCTGAATCATGATGATTAGATGTACGGCTGAAAATGCATAGTTCAAATGGGACCAGCGTTAGAATTTCGAACGGTTATCTATCAGAGTCATTGATGCAAATATGTCATTTGCATTATATTATCAATGTCATCTCTAGAGTAATCTTTAGGGGGTTTGGATTTGGTGACTTTGTGGTGGGAAAGTTAGGTAACTTTAGTGTATTTTGGGATTGTTTTATGAATAAATAAATATTAATAATTAATATGAGAGAGAGTAATATAGGAGAGAGATAGAGTGAAACCTAAAGCCACCAAAGTTTAACCTATTAATCTTTTATATAATATTATATTTTTTAATGATGTATTTTATTAATATTTTGTGAAATAATCACTCACTATATTTTACTATACAACTACAATATGTTGTAGAAAAGACTATATTACCCTTTCTTATTGATCCAAAGCTTCTGTTTGGAGGGTATATCAATAAAATGTCTAAAGCTGATATTTTAGTTCATGTGGAACCAATTATGCATTGCATTTGTTCCGCTACAACATCATCTCCATTGAATTCAATTTTTTTCCCAACCAAAACATCACTTCATACTTAGTGTATACTCAAAAAGCAAATATCATGTCACAATCTTTCTTCTTTGTGTAGCTTCTCTGCATATCAAATCTTCGGATTTGGATCCTCTCCTTTTTTATATATCATGTCATCTCTCATGTTTCTAATCTAACGGTTCAAAATTTATAGTGAATAATTAAATAAAAAAAAGTTATTTAATAGAAGAGAGAAATGGATAAGTAATTTGTCTTTGTTATCTTTGTTATTTTTATTTATTTATTCATTATAAATTTTGAACCGTTAGATTAGAAACATGAGAGATGACATAATATATAAAAAAGGAGAGGATCAAAATCCCAAATCCTCTTATCTCTTTTTTTTAAAGGTTTTGCAACTTTTGTCTTCGTCAATGATCACCAACCTGTACTTGGACGCACAACACCATTAATGGATGTTACAAATGTTTCTCACACTGCTCTATCTGATAGGCGTAACATACCAAGGGCAAGTAACAAACAAAAAGGATTTCACTCACATGCTTGAGTTAATTTGTTCAATCGTTTCACAGACTCGCTATCAAATGAAAACGACAATGTTCCTATATATCCTAACACCATCCACGACACTATGGATTCTGAAAGACACCATGTTCATTTGATTCATACAGGTATTGCAGATACAGCCGCAATTACTTCTTTCACTTCTTCTAGAGGCTCACGTCAATAGGCAAATGCTTTTTTAGACGGCGAATAATCATTGAGAAATACTTCGGATTCTGACGACTCTTTACAAGATGAATCTATTATAGAATCATACCTTCAACGTATGCTTCATTTTATTCTTATTCATATTCCATAAATATTTTTTCTCTTTTGGCTTATTACAACATTCTTCTTTTATTCATCATAATTGTCTTCTCCATTTGACAAAGTATTCAGATATCGGTGATCCTGTTTAGGAATGCCAATTATGTAACGCATTTATGTGGTATCAAGCTTTGATGCCAATTGAAGGTGAGGAAAATACACAAGAAGGGAGAGGGGTGAATTGTGTTCGCTAAAAATATTTCTGCTTCTGAACATAGTTGAGATTTTAAACATTAGTTCAGAACCTGATAATAAGGTAGCAGAAAATATATTAGAAGTAAACCAAACAAAATAATGAACACAACACATTTATCCTAGTTCCTTCCAAGTTAGGAGTAGTTCAGTCCCTTTGCAACATAAAAGACTTTCCACTATAATCAACTCACGATTACAATTGCATATGCGCTGCACAAAAATTTTACTGCTCAGACCAATAGCCTAAGACTTCTTGCTCAATCAACACCTAGTAAAGACTTCTCTACTTATATACTTAGATCCTAAGACTTTCATTGCTTAAATCCTTCTGGTTCAAGACTTCTTTGCTCAGAACCACAATCTAATACTTCTTTACTCAGATCCTTGATCCAAGACTTCACAACTCAGACGCACCGTCTAAGTCTTCTTAGCTCGGATTCTCAATCCAAGACTTCACTGCTCAGATGCACCGTCTAAGACTTATTTGCTTAGATTCTTAATCCAAGACTTCACTTTCTTAATCAAAATAGATAAAGACTTTCAATGCTCAAGCACATAGTAAGAGACTTACTTGGCTCAAGCTTTTCAACGATAGACTTTTATGCTAAAGCATTTAGCAAGAGACTTTGATCTAAACTGTTATTCGAGATATTCGATGTTTAGGAAATCTTAAGGCTTGTTACAAATTACAACAAGTAACAGAAGATTCTGCATATTCAATAGTGTTGCTCATTGTTGATCTTATTATATCTTCATTCATATAGAAATGTTAAACACTTCTAATCTTATTGGCATTACTTCTCCTTCTTATTCCTTGTTAAATATTAAGATTGAACCTTCAGCTACTTATATAACAGTTGCAAAAGACTAGTTGTTGGAAGAGATAACTTGATCAAATGTCTTTGTTTTCTCCAGAGTACAAGAGACGTTGAAGATATATAAACTAAAAGATCTTGATCCCCTGTGTAACATGTTTAACTGTTACGTCTTTAATGAGATTATATACTATAGATCCGTTGAGACTTGTTATCCGTAAAGCATGTCAACTCTTCTTTAGCCTTGTGAACTTAGACTCTAGCTGAAAAACTAATTTGACAATGCAACTTGCTTTCTGCAGTACAGACAGCTTTAGCTTTCCTACTACTTCTGAGCGATCACTAAAAGTTAAGACAATAACCAAGTGTAGATACAATGTGTTGCTTCTTCTGATGTTGAGGCCTTCAACATCAGATTCTACGTCATACATCACTTAGAGAGTGTTCTTCAGATTCTGTACCATCAAAAACAAGTAACTCAACGTCTCTCAAGTGCACCCTCATATCAGATTTTAAATATATTTCTTTAAGCATAAGAACCTGCATACTTGAACACACATTAGATAACACCATTGATTTTTAATACTTTTTTTTATCATCAAAACCAAGGATATATGTTATGAAAAAATCTTATTCTAACAATATCCTCCTTTTTGATGATGACAAACATAAGTATTTAAATGACAATGTTATGGCTATTTTAATTTTTCTTAGACAACATCAGAGCATGAGGTTTGCAAGCTCTCTCTGAGTCTGATAGATCAAAGGTTGAGTTTTGTAAGCTCCCCCTAAGTTCTACTTCTAAGAAATCTTAAAATATATTATAATTTTCTCAGTAACGTCAGGGTACGAGGTTTGTAAGCCCCCCCCCCCCCCCCCCCCCCCCGAGTCTAATAGTCTAAAGTTGAGTTTTGTAAATCCACCCTAAGTACTACTCTCAAGAAAATTATAATTTTAACTTTCTTAGCAACATTAGAATGCGAGGTTTTAAGCTCCTTCTGAGTCTAGTAGACTAAGGTTGATGTTTGTAAGCTCCCCTTTAGTTCTATATTTAATAAAAGTTAAAATTAATTACCCGAACAAGATAACCAAAATAACATTGTTTGAGTGAGCAGTTTGGACTGATTTCCATGACCCCATCCAATCCTGAGATGGTGAGATTCCCGTGAACCGTGCTTATGCTACTTTCAAATTTATAATATTTATCCTACGGTGCTAAAAAGGAAAGGGAAGAGATCTAAACTAACCATGCGTGCAAGTGTTATCCCTACAGATGCAAAGAGACCTGGAATCGGGGGTTGGTTATACAAAGGGAAGCTATTAACACCCTGAGTATCTATAGTACTATATAGGGACCTTTTTGTACACTTTTTACTATTAGTCATTTCATCTAATTAAGTTGTTTACTGTCGATTGAGAAAGTTTTAACCTATGGGTGAGAATGAGAATATGAAATGTTTTGGGAATTTTTGTCTTATGAAAGGTATGGGGACCTAAGAGGTTTTATTTAAATGTGTGCTTGCTAAGATCTCTCAATCTTATGCCTACGTATCCTCAAAAGGAAATTGACAAATCATAGCATTCGTAGTTCCACCTAACTAAGGATGGAATTTGTATCTTGTTCAAAGCCCAAGATGATGAAGGTAAAAAGGTATTTGTGTATCTTGTTCAAAGCCCAAATATGAAGCTAAAAGTTTTGTGGGTTTTTGAAAGAAAAGACATATTGTCATTCTTAAGGGAGATATCCCGCCTATTCATCACAAACATTTGATACTGATATCATAAGGGAAGAAGCTTTGGACTTGGATGTTAAAGAATCCTAAGCAATGTCGCATCTTCCTTTACGAGTCTTTGCATGTTAAGAAAAGAACCTTAACTTGGATATAGTATCAACAAGTGTGCCACTTACATCACTTTTATGAAAGAAAATTTTTAGACCATGATAAGAGAAGGACTCTGGCTTAAATCAACAAGTGTGTCACTTGCATCACTCATATGGAAAAAGTTTTAATGTTTAATTTTGAATTGTGGTGTATAGAAGAAATATTTTCCTGCAGGGATGAATCAATGTCTTATCTCTGGAGAGAAGTTGATTAATTTGAGTATCTTGTCCAAAGCCTAAAATGTTGAAGCTAAAATATTTGTATCTTGTTCAAAGCCCAAGTGTCGCAACTGCGAAAAACAAACGACGGAAAAAAAAACAGAAGAGTCGCTGTTGCGGTGAGAATAGGATATCAAATTATTAATTAACTTGAATCACGTTTTTAGTTCACAACCGCTCTTTGATTTATCCGAAGGAAAAGGTCAAAAGAGGGAAAACCTAATTTTTGCATCGTAAACAATGCGAGTAGAGCTTTAGGTAAGGGGTTGGTTAAGCTTAGGGAAGATACTAGCATCCTAAACTTCTGTAGTACTCTACAGGACCCTTTTGTTTAAATTTACTATTTTTCTTTATTATTTGCTTGAGGGTATATTGTTAAGAGTTAGAAAGTGACAGAAAGACCTAAGGGTTAGTCCTAAATTTACTCGCCAAGATTCGCATCTTGTGCCTACGTATCTGAGGTAGGGGATGGAATCAGAGTAATCGTA